AACAAATGCTAAGTGATTACAAATATTTCTAATTGAGTTTCTAGTAGTTACCCCTTTGGATATATCACCAATTACCGCATCAATGGGGTGTCCTCTAGCTATTCTCCAATCTTGTGGTAGATTGTTTCCATCATTGGTTTGTTGACTTGGTGTTTCTTCGTTGTTTGCTTCCTTTTCTTTTTGCCTTTCATCTTCCTCTTTGTCATTCAAGTTTATGTTTTTCATGCTTTCTATAACATCATCATCACAAAGTTCCTTTCTAGGCAAGGCGTTGTTAGTCTCATTAAATACAACATGAATAGACTCTTCAATGACCATTGTTCTTTTATTATAGATTCTATAAGCTCTACTTGTAAGTGAATATCCTAGAAATATGCCTTCATCGGCTTTAGAGTCAAATTTGCCAAGGTTTTCTTTTCCATTATTTAAAACAAAACATTTGCAACCAAAGACATGAAAATATGAAATATTGGGTTTTCTTCCTTTGTAAAGTTCATAGGGAGTTTTCTTCAAAATATGTCTAATTTAAGCACGGTTCATAACATAACACGCGGTGCCAACGACTTCCGCCCAAAAATATTTTGGAAGATCATTTTCATTTAACATGGTTCTAGCAAGTTCTTCCAATACACGATTTTTCCTTTCTACAACTCCATTTTATTGTGGAGTCCTAGGAGCGGGAAAATTATGTTCAATACCGTTTTCTTCACAAAACAATTCAAATTCTTGATTTTCAAATTCTCCACCGTGATCGGTTCTAATTGAAACAATATTTGAAGATTGTTCATTTTGAATAAGCTTGGCTAGTCTCTTGAATGATTTAAAAGCATCGCTTTTATATGTAAGAAATAAAGTCCAAGTATAGCGAGAATAATCATCCACAATGACCAAGGCATAGTAATTGCCACCAAAGCTCATGGTTCTAGTTGGTCCAAAAAGATCCATATGTAAAAGTTGTAAAGACTTTGTGGTAGAAACAATATTTTTTGATTTAAAAGAAGCCTTTACTTGTTTTCCCAATTGACAAGCGTCACAAACTTTATCTTTTTCAAATTTGAGCTTTGGTAATCCAATCACTAAGTCTAAGGATATCAATTTGCTCAATTGACCCATGCCAATGTGTGTTATTCTTCTATGCCATAACCAAGAGTCATCTTCCTTACTAATCAAACATTTATCGTCATTTGAAGGCATACCATCTAAGTCTATCATATAAATGTTATCCACTCTATGACCAAGAAACTTAACTTGTCCATCAATTAGACTTTCAATTTTACAAGAGGTTGAGTCAAAAATAATTTTATAATTTTTATCACATAATTGACTAATGCTAAGCAAGTTATGTCTAAGGCCTTCAACAAGCAAAACATTTTCTATAGAAACGGAGGAAGAATTACCAACATTTCCAATACCGAGAATCTTTCCTTTGTTGTTATCTCCATAGGAAACATGTACGTGCTCTTTCTTTGTGAATGATTGGAATTTAGTTACATCTCCCGTCATGTGACTTGAGCAACCACTATCCAAGTACCATTTGGAGCTTTTAGCCTTTAAGCAAACCTACATCATAAAGTCAAGATTTAAACTTTGGTACCCAAACCTTGTTGGGTCCTTGTGTGTTAGTCTTGGGCTTAGTTCCCTTAGGAACCCACACTTTCTTTTGCCCAATAATACCATTCTTTCTAATTTTACATGTAGATGCACTATGACCTTTTCCACTACAATGAAAACATTTAATGAATGGACTACTTGTCATGTAGGATGGAGAAATGAAAAAGTTTTTATATGATTTTTCTTGTGTGCTAGTGTCAAAGCCTAAACCGGATTTGTTAAACATGCATCTTTGTTTACCAAGCAACACATTTAAGTTATCTCTTCCACATGTGAATTTTCTTAGAATTTCATTTAAATCATCAATTTCATTGTTTAGATTTTTACATGAAGTACATGATGATGAAGATGCATTATCATTCGAAGATAGGCATTTGATACAACTAGTGCTAGCATCAAGTAATTTGAAAGTTTCATTTTCATCTTTCAAATCTTTCACTTCCTTTTCTAAAGATGCAATTAGTTTTTCCAAAGAACTAATAGTTTTCCTTGATGCTCTAAGAGTTTTAATATGTTTTAGTGTTTCATTATGCATTTCTTCAAACATGTCAGACAACTCATCATATGAAGGGGAAAGAGTAGAGCAAGACGAGTTTACCTCAGTTTCAGATTCATTTTTGTCCTCATTTGCCATGAGACATATATGTTGAGTTCCTTTGCTTGATTTCTCCGGTGGTCTCCCATCTTGCATGAAGCATAGGTTTGCTTCTTCCTTGGAGTCATCATCGGAAGAACTAGATTCGTCATCCCAAGCAAGATAAGCCTTCTTGAAGTTCTTTCTATCCTTGCCTTGCTTCTTTTCATATTTGTCTTTCTTTTGAATATTTGGACAATCCGATTTGTAGTGACTGGTTTTTCCACATTCATAGCAAGTGATGGTGAGCTGTGAGGATCCTTCATCTTTAGATCTTCTTCTAGGAGGAAATGCAGATTTCTTTGAAAAATTCTTCTTAAAGAATTTTCCATACTTCTTTACGAAGAGACTCATCTCATCTTCGTCAAGACCATTTTCGGAATCTCCATCTTCTTTTTCCTCATCCTTCTCTTTGCTTGGTGCCAAGGCCTTCAAGGCAATTCCCTTACTTTTCTTGATGGCTTGTTCCTTCAAGGTTATTCTAATTAGCTCCATTTCATACTCTTGGAGCTTGCCGAACAAGGTTGCAAGATCCATGGTTTTCAAATCTTTTGATTCCGTAATAGCCGTCAACTTGGGTTGCCATTCCCTATTATGCACACTTTTCATCACCTTAGCAATTAACTCAAGGTTAGTAAAAGATTTATCCAAAGCATTTAGATGAGTGACAAGGTGTGTGAATCTTTTTTGCATACTTTGAATAATTTCATTTTCATGAATTTCAAACATTTCAAATTCTCTAGTGAGTGCATTTAATTTTGTAAATTTAACATCACTAGTTCCTTCATGGGTTATTTGAAAAATATCCCACATTTCCTTAGCATTCTTACAATTTGAAACACGAAAGTATTCATCATAACCTAAGGCATTTGTAATCAAGTTTTGAGCTCTAGCATTCCAATTTCCTATCTTAATTTCATCTTCGGTGTAATTATCTATATCTTTAGGAATATCTTCATCTTTCTCATTTTTTATAGTAGGTGGTGTATACCCTTTTTCAACTACACTCCATACTCTTAAATCATTAGATTGAAGAAAAATTTTCATTCGACTCTTCCAATAGGAATAATCGACGCCATTGAAAAATGGAGGTCTAGTACTAGAAGATCCCTCAAAGGGCATATCATGGTTCAAAGAAGCCATCCCTTCTCTTGAAGCGGTTAAGCTCTTTACACAAGAGTTCAAGCTCTGATAACACTTGTTGGACAAGTGACTTCAATACTCAAGAGGGGGTGAATTGAGTTTTACAAAATCTTTTCGCAAAGTACCTCCTTTGATGTTTTAAAGACTATTTCTTCAATAAAGTGATTTAATAAGAAAATGTCTAATTGTAAAAGCAAGTGTAGTGATCAACAAAGTAAGCAAGCGAATATATAAAGACAATCTAAGATACAATTTTAATACTTAAATAAAGAGATTAAGGTTAGAGAGATGGCAAACTAGATGTATCCTGGTTCAGTCACCACCACCGTGACCTACATCCAGACTGAAGCCGCTCGATCAATTCTTTTCACTAACTATCAAGCTTGAGGGTGCTTGACAAACCACTACAACTTTTCAAGACTTCGGGCTCTTGATGCCTTACACTTTTTCACTCCAAATTTTCTTAGGAATTTGGTGACCTTTCAAGTGTGTAGGGTTCACTCCCCTAGCTACTCAAGTAATCAAGGAAGGTGTTTAACAATGGTTAAGTACTCTCAAAGTACAAATAACACAAGTTGAAGGACAAGGAAATATGACACTCTTACAAGAATAAAGCTCAAAATGAATTTATGATCAAGAAGACAAGAATAATGCGAATAGGATGAGAATTAATAAGTAATAATGATCAAGAAGTGTGTCCCATCAATGGGAACAGTAGTCTCTATTTATAGAGGGCCCCCATGGCCTTTTTCCTACTCATTTTTGCAAACTAGCCGTTTTATAGCCGTTATTTTTGTCTCCGTACAGTAGGTAATCGATTACCATTAAGTGGGTAATCGATTACCATTAAGGGTAATCGATTACCATTGTTGGGTAATCGATTACCAACCTGTTGAAATGTTGGTTTTCGCCCTAAAAAGATTTTCTCTTGATTCACATCATTTTCAAATATTGTTTAAACATTTTATGAACATTGAAAAGTATGTTTTCATGTTAAGAATGTATTTGACTATCAAACGATGATTTAATGCATGTATTTGAAAAAATACTTTGAGCTTCGTTCTTGTAAAGAATCAATTTACAAATAATCCTAAGTCCTACAGTATATTACTCTGAGTTTGGACTTAGAGACTTCTCTTGAAACTTGAGTCTTGATCTTGTTTAGACTTCTTTTTGATGGTTGCACCTTGAAGCTTTCTTTCCATGTTTGTTATCATCGAAATCGTTGAACCTTTATATTCTTTTCATAGAGTGCATTGGTTCCACAGAAAACACCGTTGATTTGTGTATATATCTGAAGGTTAGTGGGAGTAAGTTTATATTACTGATTCTGTATGTTGATGATATAATGCTTGCAACTAATGATCTTAGTCTTTTGAATGAGACTAAGAAGTTTGTCTCTAGTAACTTTGAAATGAAAGATATGGGTGAGGCAGCTTATGTGATTGGGATAGAAATATTTCTTGATAGATAACAAGGATTGTTGGGCTTTTCTGAGAAAGCATATATTAATAAAATTTTAGAGAGATTCAGAATGGAAAACTGCTCATCATCTCCAGTTCCAATTCAGAAGGGAGATAAGTTCAGTCTCATGCAATGTCCAAAAATTGAAATGGAACGAAAAGAAATGGAAGCAATTCCATATGCATCACTAGTTGGGAGCTTAATGTATGCGCAGACTTGTACGAGACCAGATATTAGTTTTGCAGTTGGAATGTTGGGGAGATACCAGATTAATCCTGGTATGGATCATTGGAAAGCTGCAAAGAAAGTTCTGAGATATTTGCAAGGAACTAAAGGTCACATGCTTATTTATAGGAGGTCTAACAACCTTGAAGTGATTGGATACACGAATTCAAATTTTGCAGGATGTGTAGATACAAGAAAATCCTCTTATGGTTACTTGTACCTTTTAGATGGAGGAGCTATATCATGGAAAAGTGCGAAGCAATCAGTAATTGCTGCATCCACCATGGAAGCTGGATTCGTGGCATGCTTTGAGGCCATGGTTCAGGCTAAGTGGCTAGAAATTTTATTTCAGGGCTTGGATTGGTTGACAGTATTGAAAAGCCATCGAAAATATATTGTGATAATTTCGCAGCAGTATTCTTTTATAAAAATGACAAGTATTCAAAGGGTGCTAAGCATATGGAATTGAAACACTTTGCCGTTAAAGAAGAGGTTCCGAAACAAAGAGTGTCTGTAGAGCATGTTAGCACCAATCTTATGATAGCTGATCCCTTGACGAAGGGATTACCGCCCTAGGTGTTTACTGGTCATTTGCATAGTATGGGCATTATGTCAGCTAATGAATGTTGATCGTTATTATAATTATTGACTGTTGACACTCTGATTCAATTATGTATGAGTTTCTGAAAGTCACCTTGTTTTCAAATTTTGTTTGCATGCATGCATAAATGATTATTTCTATAAAACAAGATTTGTCCTTAATGAAGACTTTATAGTATTGTTGTGGGACATAATGTTTACTTATGTTAAAATATCATGTTAGGAAGAAAAGCTAATACAGTGGTACATGGAAGGAAATATGCCGATTTGATAGCATAGAACTGCCATGACTCATATTGGTTTTTTGTTCTGATCATGATGAATGATAAGGCCAATGTATGGAACCTTTAGCCTTATATACACGCATTATGATGAACTTTCTTTAAATTATGAAGGGACACTTTATGACATGAGCCAAGTGGGAGAATGTAAAACCATGTATATGTCTCATGTATTAAAGTAGTGTTATTTTGATTTAATGAGAAAAGGGCAAAAAGGTAACATTGGTGTAAGAGTTATTAGAAGGTATTAAATAGTTAAATGTTATTGATAACTGTTGATAGGTGCAATTATCAGAAAGTTATAAGGCATTTAGTTTTCATAAAAAAGATATAGAAAACGTAAAAGAGAAACTTTTCACCATTAAAGATCTTTCGCAATCATGGATAAAGATTAGTGAGTTCAACCGTAAAAATTGTGAAAGCCATGAATTTCTAAGATCCTTTTATTACTTACAATCGATCGTTTCGCCGGTTTTGCAGAGGTCACGACAACGGGGTGGTGGTGCTATCTTGGAGAAACAAGAAGAAATATTCCACACAGTGTAGCGAATTACTGCCTGCTTGACATGTGTCATTTTTTCTGACTGTGCAGCCTGACAGGGCATATTTCGCTACACTGTATAGCGAATTACTTGCAAGCATAATTCGCTGCACAGTGTAGCGAATTATGCCGTGTGGCATTCCAGGAATTTTTACTGTTGGCGTGGCAGTCTGGTAAATAATTTGGGGAAGCGTGGCAAAATGGTCACTGTTCCTTTTTCCTGGGTTGTCAATTTAATGATAAACCTGTGAAGAAATCCTGGAAGCATTATATTGAAATTACTGAGGGCATTTTAATATGGATAGGGATATTGTAATGTAACTAAATCATGTGTATAATTTTATGATATGTGATTTAGTTGATCATACTTTTGGTATTTAACTTTTCAAATTTGTTGGCAGGGAAGCCATCATTTAGTGTGTCAAGAGAGGAAATCTTTCGAGCGCTGAGACATTGACCCAACAAAAATAGAGGCTATGAATGAAAATGCTAAGAGGGAACAAGCTACAGTGATTATAATTTATCAAGGTTATCTGATGAAGGTGTCGTGGAAATGGCAGCATACCACTATCATATTGCAAATTGGATGTAGGAACAATGTAACAACAACTTTATAGTTGAATTTTTTGATTTGATTTGTTAAATAATAAGCTTTACTTTTGGATAAGCAATTTTCAAGTGACTCGATGTAAGTATACACTGATTATTAGCCTATTAAACCCTAACTTTTATTTATACATGTGTTGCTTAGTGTACATATTGGCCTTTAACTAGATTAACTTTGGTTTGTTACAATTATAGTTAATTGGCACTAAAAAAAATGTGTGATTTGTGGAGGTTATTTATTGGAGGTCATTGAAACCTACAAAAAAAAAAAAAAAAAAATACATAATTTGTGGCATATATGGAGAAGGATAATTTTTATTTTAGTCGAAATATATAATTTTATGGAAGATTTTGAATGCCAAAGCATTTATATAATATTTTTATAATTTTAAATATTTTCTAAAGAAAAAAAAATTATTTAACGACCGCTACAATTTTATGTTTTAAATAAAATTCGTTTCTTTTCAAGCTTCATGCTGCTTGAGATTTGTGATTTCGCTCAAATTTGGGAGTTACCAGTTCACATGCACTAACACCGAAGAGAACGAAGATCAACAACAACAGCAGCAATGAAGAGCAAAAGTTCTCAACAGCATAATCAGCTTTCTTTTAGCTCAAGAGTCAGAGTAGGAGTGCTCCGTCGTCAAACCAGCCGGAGCCGAAGACTGAGCAACAATGCTCCAGTCCTTCCTCCGATGAATTCCCGGCGTCTAGTTGTTCGAGCAATGGATCCATTGGGCTCGATGAGGAGAGGATCAAATTGTTAGATCTGGAGGTAAGAAAAAAAATTAAAGAAGCTGTTTCGTTTTTTAAATTCTTTGAACTGAATAATTAAATGCCGTTATAGATTTTTGTGGAACCTGCGTTTTGTTGCTCTCTTTAATTATTTGTCCTACTCTTTCACTCATTCAATTTTCTTTCTCTCTCCAAATTTAATGCACCGCATCCAACGTTTCTTTTCAGGTGGAGAGCACTCAAAGTTGAAACCTCAACGTAACGTGCAATTGCGGTGAAGAATTTGAAAGGTTTTTAAATTTTAAATTGAATTTGTGATTTAGCTCAAAGAGAAAATGTTAATTTGGGATTTAGATCAAATTTGTGCTTTTAGTTGTCTGTATTCTGAGCTTGCTCTGTGAACATGTTAATTTTAAATTTTTTATTATTATCTTATTTTATCTTCAAGGGCAATTGCTGACTTTGAGTTACGTCAATTTCTGTGTCGTCAATACAGGTTTCAATTCTCTACGGCCCCTAATATAGTTCACCCTAGTGATTGTTATTTCACAGGCCCTATAACTGGTGCTCTCACGCACAAATACACAGGCAATTCTCTGATTATACCTCTATTTCATTACTAATTCTGCCAAACTATTTTACAAGACTTACAATGTGTTATTTATAAGCAATAGCAAATGATTAAGAGTGATAATGACTAACATAGAAAATCTAAACATATTAATTGTCCACTAACAGATACCTAGGGACATACATCTTCACCATAAACCTTTCATTTTCTATTTTTCTTTTATTTAATTTAAACTTATCCCAACAAAACTCCTCCATAAGCTTTAAATTCTTCGACCATCCTTCATCCCAATCTTCTTCTTGAAATTTTCTATCAGCAACTTTGGCAACGGCTTCGTAAATATGTCACCCACTTGATCTCGGCTTGCAACATGAGTGAGCTCCACCTTTCCTTCCTTGACTTGATCCTGGATGAAATGAAACCTGACATCAATATGCTTACCCCTCTCATGGTTGACCAGGTTCTTTGCTAACTCGATTGCAGACTTGTTTTCAACCCGGATCTCGGTTGGGCCGACTTGTTCTTGCTCCAATTTGCTCAATAGATTCCTCAGCCACATTGCGTGACAAACGCACCAGGATGCAACAACGTACTCGGCTTCACATGTAGATAGAGTCACAATGGGTTCCTTCTTTGACACCCACGTGAATGCCGTGTTTCCCATTAAAAACACATAGCCAGCCGTGCTCTTCCTGTCATCAACATCTCCACACCAGTCGCTATCTGAATATCCCACCAGCTTGTTACTTGTCTGACTTCGAATAATGAAGTCCTCGCGAGATTGTTCCTTGAACATATCTCAATATCCTCTTCGCTGCCTTCCAATGTGTGTAGCTCGGATCTTCCATGAACCGGCTTATAATCCCAACAATTAGACACAAGTCTGGCCTCGTACAAGTTAAATTCCTCAAACATCCTACTAGACTCCGGTAATTACTCGGATCAACTCTTTCTCCTCCATCATACTTCGAAAGTTTTAAGCCGGGTTCCATAGGAGTTGAAACCGGATTGCAATCTATCATTTTGAACCTCTTTAAGATATCTTTTGCATAAGCTTCTTGAGATACGAAGATCCCGAATTTGTCTTGTCTGACTTCCAGACCAAGGAAGTATCTCATCAGACCGAGATCCGTCATCTCGAACTCTTTTGTCATTTTCTTCTTGAAGTCTTGTATTATCCCTTCATCATTTCCCAAGAGGATTAGATCATCAACATATAAAGCAACTAGTAAAATATTACCTTCTTTCTTCTTCACATACAGGGCATGTTCGTATGGACATTGCTCAAATCCGTCCTTCTTGAAATAAGAGTCAATACGGGTATTCCAAGCACGCGGTGCCTGCTTCAGCCCATACAAAGCCTTATTCAGCCTTAACACTTTTCTTTCTTGTCCGACTTTCATGAAACCCGGAGGTTGTTCGAGATATACCTCCTCCTCAAGTACACCGTTTAAGAACGCTGATTTCACATCCATCTGATAGATCGGCCATCCAATCTGAGCTGCATGTGAGATCAACAACCTGATTGACTCCATCCTCACTACGGGTGCAAACACCTCGTCATAGTCTATTCCATCATTCTGCTTGTACCCCTTTGCTACTAGCCAGGCTTTGAATCGCTCAATCTCCCCTTTAGCATTCATCTTCTTCTTATATACCCACTTCACACCGATGGGCCGACTTCCTTTTGGTAGCTCGGCTAACTCCCATGTCTTATTCTGCTCAATAGCTTTTATCTCTTCTTCCATGGCAGATTGCCATTTTTCATTTCGGACAGCTTCCTCAAAGCTCAAATCCTCAGAATCTGCTAACAAGCAAACGAGATGTGCTTCGTTAGTTTAGTCATACAAGTCCTACAAGCTTCTCATTCTCGGTTGTCTCTGCTCTTCTTCATCATCAGAGACTTCAGGATTTGCCGGGATATGGGTCGAAGGTTGTCCGACCTCAATTGGTATATTTCCGGGTTCCACATTGACCCCAGATGTACTATTCCAGTCTCATTCATCTTCTTCATTCACTTTCACATCTCGGCTTACCAACACCCTTTTATTGACGGGATCCAACAACTTGTATCCCTTCGTCTTCTCATCATATCCAATAAACACAAACTTCTTACTCTTATCTTCAAGCTTCGTTCTGAGCTGGTCCGGTATGTGTGCATACGCAACACTACCAAAAATCTTGAAATGAGCCACTGATGGCTTTAGACCACTCCATGCTTCCTGTGGGATTTTATCATTCACACTTGAATGCGGACATCTATTCTGCACGTACACAGCACATTGTACAGCTTCTCCCAAAATCTCCTTAGGCATATTCTTAGTCTTTAACATAGAACGCACCATATCCAAGATAGTGCGGTTTTTTCTTTCAGCAACTCCGTTTTGCTGTGGTGTGTACGGCGCGGTCAGGAACCGCCTTATCCCGTGTTCTTCACAATACCTTTTAAAGGCTGTTGAAACGTACTCGCCACCTCGGTCAGAACGGACCGACTTGATGTATCTCCCGGTTGCATTTTCTATCATCACTTTAAACCTCTTAAAGGCCTCTAGAACCTTGGACTTTTCCTTTAGAAAATATACCCAAGTCTTACGGCTGAAATCATCAATAAAAGAAACAAAGTATCTCTTTCCACTGAAGGACCCCGGAGTTATGGGTCCACACAGGTCGGTATGTATCAACTCCAGAGGCTGCTTAGCCCGGTATCTTGCCATCCTTTGGAACGGGCTTCTTGAGTGCTTACCCACCACACAGTCTTCACAGAACTTTCTTTCAGAATTTATCTTTGGCAGTCCCACTACCATGTTCTTCTTCATCAGCTCGGCTAGACCACCGTAATGAAGGTGTCCAAACCGTCGATGCCACAGAGACATCTTATCCTCCACCTCGGCTTGCAGACAGCCGACCTCCATGCTCCTCAAACTCAGCTTGTACATTCTGTTTTTTCCATCTGAACTCGGTCTATCAGACGCCCTTATTTGTCTTTCAATAATAGAACTCGGTCTGTCATTAGAACCGAGTAACCTTTCTCCATCAACTGTCCAATGCTCAAAATGTTACTTTTGAGCTCGGGCACATAGTACACATCCCGAATTGTTCCAACCCGTCCATCCTTTTGTAGAAAGCAAACCGTACCACGGCCTTTCACATCAATTTTGGACGCGTCTCCAAAAGGGACATGTCCGGCTTCCACCGTTCTCAACTCTTTGAACAAATGTTTGTAACCACACATGTGATTACTGGCACCAGTATCCAAGTACCACTCCGTCTCACTCTTCGAGCTAGTTTCACCATGTGCTAACATCAGAACTCCTCTATCTCTTATTTCTCCTTCTGCATCGAAGTTTGAAGTCTCGTCAACTCTTCTTTCATCTCGGCAATCTTTAGCAAAATGCCTAACTTGGCCACAATTGTAGCATCTGTCCGAGTTGCAATCTTTTGCGTAGTGACCATACTTGCCACACTTATAACATTCTATATTGCTTTGATTCGACAACCGGCCTCTTCCACCTCGGCCACGTCCTCTACCTCTCTAGTTTTGCTTACTCGTCTCAGCTTTTTCTTCATGTTTCACCTCCTGACCTCGGCCACGACCACCTCGGCCATTTCCACGTCCACCTCGTCCAATACCTCTACCTCAGACATTCTGAGAGTACAACACCTTTTCATCCTTAATTGTTGCTTTTGTCTGGAGTGCTTGCTCAAGAGACTCCTCCTTCTTTTTCTTCTTGCGCTGCTCATGCGCTTCAAGAGAACCAGCTAGCTCTTCAACAGAAAACGTAGCCAAGTCCTTAAACTCCTCGATTGCACATACCACGTTTTCAAAGTCGTCTGTCAACGACCTCAGAATCTTTTCAACAACTCTGGAGTCGGTCAACACCTCTTCATTCCGTTTTAACTGGTTCACCACGGTCTGAACCTATGTAGCACCGATACGACGCGCGACACGTGACACGACACGACACGACACTCCGACATGTCAATCCTAAAAAATTATGGATTTCGACACGTTGGGACACGTTTTAATATTAAATAATTTTTAATTTATATAGTGTATATTTCATTTAATATTTAATAATTTAACAAAAAAATGAAACTGAATTAATAATACCCATCAATACGTTATAAAGATGGAAGCTTTAATCAAAAAAATAAGAACTGGGATGAGAGAGAGATATAATATCAGATAGAGAGATCAAATCATATTAGAGAGATCAGAGAGAAGAAGATACAACAAGAGCGTGATAGGAATTGATAACAATGATGCTGAGATGATCTCTTATCTACTTAAGGGGAACAAAGACAAAAAGATAAAATTGATATGATCAGGTTGAAGCTTTATTAATATATTTTAACTTTTTAAAAAAAAAAAAAATTTAAAAAAAAAAATAAAAAATAAAAAGAATAAAAAAAATTACGAAAATGCCATTTGACCGTGTCGGACACGGTCAAATTCGCGTGTCGGAATGGTCAACGTGTCGAAAAAGTCAACCGCGTGTCCGACACCGTGTCGGAGCGTGTCGCCGTGTCGGAGCGTGTCGGACCCGACTCTTCCTGTTTTTACAAGTGTCCGTGCTTCCTTGGTCTGAACCTTGGTGATGAAGTCCGACACTCCTTCGGTTTCCTTCATCTTCATCCCCTCCAACTCTTCTCGAAGAGTTTGAAGTCTGACCTGCTTCACACGGTCCGCGCCTTTGTAGACCGTCTCCAATATATCCCAGGCCTCCTTTGCTGTTGTTGCGCCTCCAATCTTTTCAAGACCACCGCTTTCTTCAATAGCTTGAAACATCATAAAGAGTGCCGCTGCATCCTTTGTTCTCGTCGCACTCAATTGCTTGAGTTGATTTGCTGAATATCCTTCCGTTGTTTCAGGTTCTACGAACCCATTTTGCACCAACCCCCAACTGTCATAGGCTCTTAGAAGAGCCTTCATTTGGATGCTCCAGTTTTCATAGTTCACCTTTGTCAGGTGGGGCAGTGGCAGACTATTACTCATATTCTCCATTAGCTCAAGCTCTGATACCAATTTGTTATTTCACAGGCCCTATAACTGGTGCTCACACACACAAATACACAGGCAATTCTCTGAATATACCTCTATTTCATTACTGATTCTGCCAAGCTATTTTACAAGACTTACAATGTGCTATTTATAAGCAATAGCAAATGATTAAGAGTGATAATGACTAACATAGGAAATCTAAACATATTAATTGTCCACTAACAGATACCTAAGGACATACCTCTTCACCATAAACCTTTCATTTTCTATTTTTCTTATATTTAATTTAAACTTATCCCAACAGTGATAGGTGGCTTTCTGTCATACACCTTACCAGAATCAAACAAGAAAATGGAAGGAAAAAATGATATTTGGATGGAAGGAAAATCTGGAATTCAATGGAAACATTCAGAGACCACCATGGACATGTATGAGTTACATGGTTTAGCTTCTTTCAAGGAGAAGCAAACCACCAAACGGAGTTAACCTACTAAATTCAGCTTAATTGACTTAGCAATGTGGCCTTCTATTAACAGAGTCCTACTGTATCATAATTCTAACCACTACATTGTTAAGGTAATTACTTAATCATTGTTGTTATTACAATTAACTTCTAATCAAACTGATATGGTATCATATATCTTGTTTTTCTTGTATCTTGCATTATACTTTTTTGTTATGCTTTATTTATTGTGAAGGTCATCATTATAATTAGCTTGGTGTTCCTTGATACATGATGTCTCGTCATATCTTTAATTTACATTTCATTTACATAAGATCCTTAAAGGAAAGTGGGAAAGAAATGTCATGTGTGACACCATCTAAACTACAATCTTTTTTAAGTTTTCATTTTAGTTTCTCCGTTTTTTCATGAATATTTCATTGTTTTGTACTTTTGTCTATACTAGCATATATCTTTCTTGGTCTGAATTCTCTACTTTGGGTGCTATTGTTTGGTATCTCAAAAGGTGTCAAGACATATTGATCTAGTTTATGGAGGAGGCAGCATTGGTTTGATGGGCTTGATTTCTCAGGCTGTCTACGATGGCAGTTTCCATGTAATTGGGTGAGCATCTTCTATTCTTCTTCATCATGATTTCTATTAATGATGTATTTTGTTCAAAACTCAAATTACAATAGCATGTATCAGTAAACTTTCTTATAATGTTTCTTTCTTCTGAATCTTATTTGTTTCTTCTCCCGAGGATATAAAAGCCTAGTTATATGATTTCCAATTGAGCCCACTTCTGCAGGACTGCAACACTCATCATTACACATTTACACTTAACCTCTCACGTTCTTTTGTACTCCATTCAATCTAGTTCCAATTGATTTTTTAAAACCATTAATTGATATTAACACCAAATCATTGCTTATAAGTCTCTTTTGTTTCTTATATATAAAATGGTAAATAGAATTTCATTAGAACATACACTCTATGATACAGGACACCATAACATAAAAAAAAGTTGTTCATTTCAATTTACTAAATATAGACAGAATATCTCATACCAACATAATTTATTAATTTATGGTTTCAAATGGTCTCATTGAAATTGTTACTTCAAGATCAAATTAAACAACTCCAAGTTGAAGATTTTCATCGACTAAATCTAACCAAGACAAACTAAAGTTACCATAGCATACTTGGAACTAGAAAGCTAGCCTGAAGCTCAACTTTACTAAATAATTGGCCACCTAAAAGAGTTACAAATTTCTTATACAGTAGGATCTGTCTTGCGATGGCACTTTGGTGTTTTTTGTTTCAATGTTCTCCTTCATATGTTGAAAAATCACATGCCTTTCTTTCTTAGTTGCTATCGTATTCGATTATCACTTATCTCATTCTAATTTTTCTTTCACTTCTTTGCTGTTCCAAACATATTTTTAATACCAGCAAATTAATATTATGGCCATTTAATTTCTGAAATCTACAAGTGTTACCATATATTATTTTTTGTTTAACTCGTGATCATAGGTTACTTGGAAGATAGGCGTCCGGCTTCAAACATGGATCCACATGTGGTGACATCATTACTGGTAGAGACTACACTATTGTGGGAACCAACTCTAGAGGTTGAAGCTGTTCCAACTCAAAAGATAAATCTATTGATTGATGGTATTCTGGATGCAGTCGGTAGTTTGTGTAGAGCTGGAAAGCTCTTTCATTTTCCTTTTATATTATTTGTATTCTAAATATCTTGTTTGAAAGAAAGAGGTTGGCATGCCCGTTTATTGGTTGTTAGATGAAATGCCCATTCATTTAGCAAGTAAATGATTACCCTCATAATTTATTTATTTGTTTGTAAACACCCTCATAATTCTTAGTAGAAGCAGACGAAATGGATGTGATTTGATAATAATAAAATTTAAAATTATAAAAAAATAGAGATAACATATTGTGGAGGTCTAAAGCCCCGCAAAATGCAGTTAATAGTAGAGGTCTAAACTTAAGTAAAACAAATTGTAGTGAAACAATTGTGGCGGTCCAAAGCCTCCAAAAGTGAAATATATTGTGGGGGTTAATGCTTCAACAAATAGTGGCGTTGCATCTCAAAACGTCACAAAATATGTTGTGGCGTATGTAATATTGGCAATTTTTTTTTGATGCCACAAATGTATGTAGTGGGGTCAAAGACCCCACTATTTGCAAATATAATTTCCACAAAATGCTTGAATTTTTTTAGTGGCAATAGCAAGTTATATAATAATCTTGTGGGAGATACCAGCTTAAAATGATCAACTTGTAATATGATTTGCATTGGTTTTAAAAAAGAATAGTAATATAATTTGTTTTGATCTTAAAAATATATTTCATTGAAATATGTGAGTTTTTACATATAACTATAGAAATCAGTAAAATAAGTTAATATGAAGAAAAAAAAATTACCAATCAAACGAGTTTTTTCATTTTTTTTTGTTTTGAAAACATGTTCTGAGAATAAATTTACCAAGCAGATTTTTTTGCCCTTTAATTTGTAAAACTCTTTTCAAAACAAATGTATCAAACGGATTTTTTTCTTCTTTTATTGTGAAAAACAGTTTTTATAAACTATTCTACAATATTATTTTAAGAAAAAAAAATCAAAATATTATCAATCAGACCTATATTTGTTGAAGAGATAAACGCGTGTGCTAGCAATACGATAAAAGTTGTCACAAGGAAACGAAAATAAAAAGGGTTTGGATAGATTATATTAGGTTATGTGTTCAATTCACACTTATACTCAAAAAAGGAAAAAAGAAAAAGGAAAAAATGCGATTATATTTTTATAAAAATATAAATAATGATAATTTTAATGTGGTAAGGGTCGACAGATATCTGAATTTTACACAAAGGGAAGGCAACAAAATCCTTTTTTTTCCCTTTTTTTCATAAGTTTTCCTTTCAAATTTGATAATATTATATTATATGATTACTTCTTTGTTATAAGCTAAGAACAAGAATAATAAAAGTTAAAGAGAGGTGGAGGAGCGGAATGGGATACTGTAGCTAAAATGAATGTGGTAAAAGATAGATATTTTTTGAGTGCAGAAGAGAAAAGATCATGACAGTGGGGTAAAAGGTGAAGAAGAATTGACCAGTGGAAAAGGTGTAGAAGGATGCAAGATTTTTTTTTTTTTTTTTTATCTGAATGAATAATGGTATGTGGTGTGACTGTTAGTGAACTCATAGAGACTGTGAAGCAGGTCTAGACATGTGTTAGGCATGCATACAATCATAGGTTTTATGCTAACTAATGATTGAGGATTACAATTCACAAACAAACTAGTACATTATCTATGCGATGCACTGAGGAAAAAGATTAAAAATTTTGTCGATGATCGTTGTTGATTAATCTCTAAAATAAAGAACGTGTCACTACTTTCTAATATATATATATATATTAGTGTATTACCAGTGCGATGCATGAGGAGAAAAAAAATTAGTTTGTCTATCTCGTAAAAATTAACGCAAATCATAAAAGTATATCGTTGCATTTTATGCAATTAAGATAACTAATGGTCTTTTGAATTACCACATTTAACTTCAACTACGAAGTGTTTATTGAAATATTAAACATACTAACTCAAATATTTGTCAACTCTACATGTATAAAAAGTTAGAGTTAGGTACCTCATAGTGTTAGTTAGACACTAACGTCCTTTCGGATCGAGTCTATTTTGTCATCTGTAACTGTCAATATTTTATATCAACATGGTTTGTTAGACAGTAAATATAAAAGGAAAAAAAGCGTTGGCGGGCTAACCCGCCCGTTTGAAAGGTGGGGTGGGTCGGCCCTCTGGGCCGAGCCTGTTTTGCCACCTCTAACTATCAGCATTTTATATCAACATGTAATAAATGAAGAGTTGTCTTTGAATTGACTTTTCTGAAGTGAGTGTAGTTGTGACATATATATTAGATGAAGAGTTGACAAATATTTGAGTTATTACATTTAATATTCTAACAAACACTTAGCCACACAAAGACAGATTTGTTAGACAGTAAATATAAGAAGAAGAAAAATGTGATGGCAGGCGGGGTTGGTCGGCCCTCCCGGGTGAGACCAATTTGCTATCTCTAACTATAATATTTTATATTTAAAAATAATAAGTTATAGCTGATTTATATTTTAAAGTCACATATAATTTTAAAAAAATAAATATAATTATAAGTGTAATTTTACATTGGTTTTAAGTATATATATTCAAATATTTTGTTTTACTTTCAAAAAAAATTGGTCGGTATTACTCCACAATTCGATATCATGGCTAATTCTTTTGGTTGTAAGTGTAATAACAACATCGGTTTAAAAAAAAAAGTAAATAAATAAAACTCCTTCCATTTGTTTGTCTCGTAAAAGTTAACACAAATCGTAAAAGTATATCGCTGCATTTTAGCTTGTCTTATAGTCATTCAAAAATTACATAGTTTGACTCGGTTTCTTTCAGTGTTTATCAAAGATGGACTTTCATTTATCACAATCTGATTGTTCACTTTGTGTAACAGAAAAATATTTCTGCAGGTACTGTATATAATTTATTTGCATTTACTTCAACAATGACATCGTTTTGAGATTAAAATATTAAAAAAATATAATTATGAAGACTATAATAACCCTAAAATAAATTAAAATTACAAATATACCATAATTTCTGCCTCAAAATGACGTCTTATTGGGCTTATTGCAGATAACTTATTTGCAGTGACTGCAAAAAAAATGAACCCTTTGTTTAAATGCTTGTTTATGAAATATTTACAACACTAAATCTGTTATGGATATGAATATCATATCCCAACTACCTACTAGAATATCTAATCAGATATAGAGTCACCAACATCTCAACAACTCTAAACAGCCAAAGGGCACAAGATGAGGATCACATCCCAACAGAAAGGGAGTTGAATCCTACTGCAATTAGGGGAGCTCAAAAGGCCCAAGCCTAGGAAGGTAATCCTATAAATAAGAGCTTAAAGACCCCAGGTAAACACTTTTAACCTATTTACTAATACTGCCCACACTGTGTACACACCCACCCCTTGGCTATAAGCCTATTGCTTGTGCGTAGTGATTGGGACCTCGGCTATAAGCCTAGTATACATTTGATATACACTATCTCTGAGCACATACCCTACGGTATAGCAATACGGTCTATCCAGGACCTAACATTGGCGCCGTCTGTGGGGACGATAAATTTCGACCTCCATTCCACGATGACGAACACCCGTTCGACGTCTAGCACCGCCCAAATGCCGCCGCATCAATCTCAGCCTCATCCTTATGGCATGCCTCAACACTAATATGCATTGGAACAACTCCAATTAGAGGCAAACCCGGTGCTGGTAGAGGTACAGGTCGGCGATGTCGGCACTCAGGGACAGACCCCCAGAACCCAGCTCAATACGACAGCGGCCTCAGTTCACCCACCTCCACACAGTGAGCCACCGCGAGACGTGACCACGTTGGCCATGAATGCAATCCTTCAAAGGCTGCAAGAGATGGAGAATAGATTCCCGACTCAACAGCGACTAGATGCCCAAAGGATGGCGACATTCGAGGCTGAACTGAGAAATCGCAACGTGGAAGGCCAACCCAAAGGAGCCGGTCAGGTCGCAAATGACGGATCTCAGCATCAGAATGCTGAAGGCGTCCAACATCAGAACGCCGAAGACCTCCGACATCAAAATGCTGAAGGTCAACCTGGAAGAAATGACCGTGCTGTTGATGATGGCCCGCGACGTCAGAATGCGGCCACAGTCGAAGGACACGCACAGAATGTGCAGAACCCTAACCTCGGCAACGACCGGAATGGTGGAGGCCTGAACGACAACCATGACGAGAACTACCTAGATGATGAGGAGGCTAATGATAGCCCATTCACTGAGAGGCTCATGAACCTGGTTATACCTCCGAGATTCAAGAGCACCAGGATACCTCCGTATGACGGAAGTCAGGACCCAGAAGCCCATTTAGCGGCTTTCAAGACCGAGATGTTGTTCAACGGGATCACTGGACCTATTAAGGCCAGAATCTTTGCGACAACATTGACTGGTCGGGCGATGACCTGGATAACCAGGCTCCCCAGGAACTCAATCGACTCGTTTGAGGACCTAGCCAGGACTTTCCGACTGAACTTTGCAACAAGCAAGGTGCTCCAATGTCGGCCTACGCTCTGGGACGAATTCGGCAGAAAGAGAGTGAATCGCTGAGGAAGTACCTCGATCGGTTCAAGGATGCCGCCCTCAAGGTCCGAGGTTTAACTGAAGCGGTGCACCTCCACTTAATCATCTCGGGATTAGATGGTGACTCTCCACTTGCGAGATCAATCTATAAGAACCCGGTGAATGATCTGGAGGAGTTTCGACGAAGGTCAGATAAATACATTGATGTGGAAGATATGCAGAAGGTCTACGTCGAGTCTCGAGGACGAAGTCCGACACGTCGGAGCCCGAGTAAGAAAAATAACAAAGACTGGGACCAGAAAGGATCCAAAAAAGGGAAGGACTCTCACGATAAGAGGTCGGACGATCGATCTCCAAGAAGGAAGTATGACGAGTACACACCCCTGAACATGTCCAGATCCAGGATATGGAAAGAGGTGGCCCAGACTGAGATGCGCAACATCGAGAGACCTCGACCACTCAAAGCCAAGAGCGGGCTGGACAGAAACAAATACTGCGCTTTCCACGATCAAAACGGTCACATCACGGATGACTGCTGGGACCTTCGAGATGCTATTGAAAAGCACGTCAGAGAGGGGAAGTTGAAGCAATATATCATCTGAACACAGGGAAAGAAAAATAATAAGCGAAAGCAAAGAAGCCGAAGCAGAAGTCGAAGCCCGAAGAGAAAACATAGAAATGATCAAAGACAAGACCGACCTGCCAAAGGCAAAGAGGTCGATGATAAGGACGAGGCCTTTCCCGAAGCTGAATTCGAATCCAACGTGATAAGTGGAGCTCTAGGCGGGGGAGGAGACTCGACCAATGCCAGAAGAAAGTACCTGAAGGAGGTCATGTCCGTAAGAGACAGACCGACCTTCAAAGGGAAAGCCAACAATCCTGCCCCCCCAAGACTGTTCTTCACTCAGGAGGAACTAGCAATGGTCGTACCTGGGCACACTGACGGATTGGTGATCACTGGAGTGCTAGTCAACTGCCGGGTTTAGAGAATCTTCGTTGACCACGGAAGCTCGGCAGACATAATTCTCTGGGATGCTTTCCAGAGGATGAATCTGGATGAGAAGGACTTAAAACCATGTGTCACCGAGCTGGTCGGGTTCAACGGAGCGACGTCCCCTCCGAAAGGCTACATCGACCTAAAATTGACCTTAGGCACGAAGGATTCGTTCCGAGCTGGAAGGGTTCGTTTCATCGTAGTGGACACCTCTTCGTCCTACAACGTGATCATTGGCCGGCCTACAATCCATGAATGGGATATGCTGATCTCCACCAAACATCAAGCACTGAAAATGCCTGGGATGAACAACAAGATTGTCACATAAGAGGTGATCAAGAAGAATCAAGAAAGTGCTATTATGAGATCCTGCGAGTCCATCAAGGAGGCCCATCATCTCCTCCTCGGCTTAAGGATAGAGGAGCCATGGACCAGTCCTTAAGGGCATCAGGAAGCGAGATAAACTTGATCGAACTGGATATGAGAGAGGAGCTCCAAGCACCTCGTCCAGAACCCCAAGGGGAGCTGGATGACGTCGAGATCCGAAAGGACGGCGAAGGACGTACCAAGGTGGGGAAGACCCTAGAGGTCGAGTTCAAAAAAGAACTCATTTCCTTGTTAAAGGAGAATTCCGATGTATTTGCATGGAAGGCCTCAGAAATCCCGGGAATAGACCCAACTTTCTGTTGTCACAAGCTCTCCATGTACCCCGGATCGCAGCCAGTGTCCCAAAAGAAAAGGAAGATAGGATCTGACCGACGTCAAGCTTTAAGTGAACACGTTGACGAGCTGCTAGAAGCCAGATTCATCAAGGAGATACAGTACACCACATGTCTCTCTAACGTGGTGACGGTAAAGAAACCAAGTGGAAAATGGAGGATCTGTGTGGATTACACCGACCTCAATAAGGTCTGCCCAAAAGACTCGTACCCAATGCCAAGCATTGACCAGCTAGTTGACAATTCGTCAGGATTTCAACTGCTATAATTTATGGACGCATACTCTGTATACAATCAAACCTCATTGCATCCAGACGACCACGAAAAAACCGCCTTCGTCTCGGAAAAGGGAAATTTTTGCTACAACGTTATGCCTTTTAGCCTAAAAAATGCAAGGGCGACCTATCAAAGGATGATGAACCGCGTGTTCTAAGCGCAAATCGGAAGAAACTTGGAGGTATACATCGACGACATGATCGTCAAGTCAATGCAAATATCGGCACATATCGCCGACCTCAGGGAGACTTTTGAGCAGCTAAGAGCTCGCAAGATCAGGCTGAGCCCGGCCAAATGTGCTTTTGGGGTACCAGCTGGAAAATTCCTGAGCTTCATGCTTACCAACCGAGGAATAGAAGTGAACCCCGACAAATGCAAGGTCGTCCTTGAGATGAAACAGCCTGAAAGCAAAAAAGAAATTCAACAGCTCACAGGTCGCCTTGCGGCCCTGACCAGATTTCTGCCTAGATCGGTAGAGAAGGCTTTGCCTTTCTTCAAGCTCCTCAAAAAGAAGTAGAGTTCGGATGGGGGGAAGAATGCAAAAGGCGTTCGAAAATATTAAGAATTGCTTAGCCACCCCCCCGTGCTGTCAAAACTAGAGCCCGGAGAAACGTTGATCTTGTACCTATCAGTAGGGGAAGAGGCTATCAGTGCCGCTCTGGTACGGGAGACCGACAAGTCACAACAGCCGATCTACTTTGTAGGTCGGACATTGCAAGGACCAGAACTTCGTTACCAGAAGCTCGAAAAGGTCGCCTTTGCCTGTTTACCTCGGCAAGGAGGCTCCGACCTTATTTCCAAGGTCACCAAATCATCGTGCGAACAAATCAGCCCATCAGGCAAGTACTTCACAAGACGGACCTAGCAGGAAGGATGATTAACTGGGTTGTCGAGCTTTCCGAGTTCGTCATATCGTATGAACCTCGACAGGCAATTAAGTCGCAAACTTTGGCAGACTTCATCCTGGAGCTAACCCCGCCCAATGAAAAGGGAGAAGGGAATGAAGGTCTCTGGACAATTTATGTCGACGGATCCTCGAACTCTAAGGGGAGTGGAGCCGGGGTGATTGTTGAAAGCCCGGAAGGAGTGTCCATCGAGCACTCCCTCCACTTAGCATTTCCGACCTCGAAGAACCAAGCTGAATACGAGGCATTCATTGCCGAGATCGTGCAGGCAAAGGAGCACGGAGCAAGGAAGATAAAAATAATGAGTGATTCACAGCTGGTTACTTCACAAGTTGAAGGAAAATACCAAGCCAAGGGTCCTCTCATGATGAAGTACCTCCAACGGGTCAGGGAGCTATTAGTTGAGTTTGACGAGGTAACAATCCAGTACATACCTCGGAATGAGAATAATAGGGCCGACATCCTATCTAAACTCGCCAGCTCGAAAGGCTCAGGAAACCACCGCACTGTAATACAACAGAGCATCCTGGAGCCGACCTGCGTCATGGTGATAACCATTCATTTTTATAGTAATACAACAGAAAGTAGTGGAAAATATTAAAATAGTCTGTAAAATACTTAAAGGCTAATTTTTTTTACGATACAAGAGTTGCATGGTCACTGAATAATCATTCATTTTTATAGTGATTAAATTATTTTAATTTATTTTTTAAAGAATGATAGATATTATTTTAATTTGAAAAATAATTCTTTCGTATGAATTATGCATATTTTTTAAAAACTTAAATTTTTATCTTTTAATTTAAAAATTTTATATTGGGCATACATATATATTAAAATGTTTATGTTTAAAAAAATTTGTACGGATTTTTTTTCTCTTTTGTATTATATTTTTAAGTTAAAGTCTTAATTTATTTACTTTTAAAGTATAAAAATGTTATTTCTTCTTATTTTGAAATCAAATTTCAAATTTAAATTATTTTTTATCAGCTCTACATATATTTTTAAATATTTTTTTATTTAATCTATAATTTTATATTAAATTTAAGTTTACAAATATTAAACGTTGACTTATTTTTCTACTTATCAAGTTTAAAATTCGAATTTAAAAAGTTTTTCCACCCAATAGACATAATAATAAATATTGTTAATAGGCTTAAAAAAATTTTATGCAACAAGAAGTGAAAAATATTAAAATAATCTGTAAAATACTTGATAACAAACATCATTTTTGATGTAGGAGTTGGATGGTCACTGGTCATTCATTTTTATAGCATTTTAAATTTTTATTATTTGTTTTAACAAAATCATAGATGCATTTTTTTATTTAAACAAAAAATTTGAATTCCTTTATATTGATTATTCATATTTTTTGCAAAATTAATTTGTATCTTTTAATTTATAACTTTTATATTGGTTATGTTAAAAAAAAAATTCTTGTACGAATATTTTTTCTTGTTGTATTATTTTTTATGTTAAATTTTAATTTATTTTCTTTTAAAGTATAAATAAGTCATTTTTTTGCAGTTAAATTTCAAATCTAAATTATCTTTATCAACTGTACATATTTTTTATAATTTTAAAAAAAATTCATTTAATCTATAATTTTTTATTATATTTAAATTATATATATATATATATATATATATATATATATACATATATATATTTCCCACAGCGGAAACATTAAATACTGAACTCTTTCAATACCCGTCAAGTTCAAAATTCAAATTTAAATACTTTGAATTTTAAATATTAAATATTTTCCACCCAATAGACATAATATTAAATAATATGAATATGCTTAGCAATTTTTCATGCAAAAAGTAGTGAAAAACATTAAAATGGTCTATAAAATACTTGGTGGCTAACATGTTTTTATGATGCAATAGTTAGATGGTCATTGATTATAGTGATTAAATTTTTATAATTTGTTTTTCACAGAATGATAGATGTCATTTTTATTTAAATTAAAAATTTAAGTTCTTTGTATTTTTTCGATACATAATTATTTTGTATTAATTATACATATTGAAAAATTAATTTTTTATCTTTTATTTTATATTTTTTATATTGGTTATACACATATATTTAAAATGTTTATGTTAAAAAAACTTAATAAAAAATACTTGTACGAAATTTATTAAGAAGCATGAATGATAATTTCCTGGAGTGAAATAATTTATTAAGGATAACCATAAAATGAGACAATAAGATAAGTTAATCATATTCTATTTATCCACCAAACAAGAGATAGAAGTATGATATGATAAGTTATCATATCATATCTTCTTTATCAGTGCTCCAAACACAATTCCTTAATATTCATAGCACATGCAAGTGCAACTATAATATATGCTAGACGTACATACCAATATGTGCATGGGATTTACTGTCTATAAAATCCAATAATCAATCCATTCTAAGTTTGTTGTTTTCTTAATCACTTAACCAAGAATCTCATGCAAATATCTCATACATTAAATACTTGATCTTTGTTTCCAGGTGGTCAGCAATAGCAGCAAAATTACCAGGAAGAACTGACAATGAAATAAAAAATGTGTGGCACACCCACTTGAAGAAGAGGGCATTGAAAACCAACCAACTCAATTCAGAGAGCAAAATAGTTTCAAAACCAAAAATCATGCAATCTGATTCCAATTCCAGCACACCAACTCAATCAGAACAATCCAGTCTTTATTACACTGAAATGGAGACTACATCAGCATGCAATTCTTCTAGTGATTTTTCATCACTCACCAATATTAGTGAAGGAAAACATATGAACAAGAACACCATCATGAGTGAAGACATAGAGTCTCTTGAGACAATGCCTGAAATTGATGAAAGCTTTTGGTCAGAGACAACAACAATGAATGATGAAAGATCAACCATGCCATCACATTCTTGGACAATCTCAAATGAACTATCACCTCAATATCCATTTCATTCAGTGGATACCTTCCAACAGAGTTATGGTAATAGTTCAAACTTTGATGATGGCATGGATTTTTGGTATGACTTGTTCATCAGATCAGGGGAGTCAATAGAATTGCCAGAGTTCTAAATTTTTTTCATGAACACATTGATGGTATTATTTAATTGGGCACGTAGTAAACTTTTTTCCTAAATAAAATAAATATCTTGTATAGCGAATTGAATTTGACCATTATAACAAGTAAAGAGTTAGAAACTGGGGGCAACGTTATCTCAAGCTACAAGAGCTAGAGTCATTCATTAATTAACCAAAAAAATAAATAAAAAATTAGCTACATTGGTAAAGGGTTACGGTGATATGAATCATATGATATTATAAGCACTTAAGAGTTGTTGGTCTAGTGACGATTCAGTTAGATCTCATGATTTGACCTGCCCAAAAAGTAATTGATTCGATTCGTAAGAATCACAATTTCTGAAAAGGATGAAGAGGTTCAAACCTGAAACCGGATTAGTCAGGTCTATTAAGACTTCAGACACCGGTTGATATCTATCCAAAAAAAAATTGATTGTTTATGTATAAGTAATACATGAGGTTTGCTCAACATTTTTTCTTGTTACAAGTTGTTTCATTATGTTAGAGTTATTCAATTGTAATAGAAATAAATTATCCATTGAAGTATATGAATATTCAATTCTTTTTTACTCTTGTTGAGTTTTATTACCTATTTTCTTTCTGGTTTTCTGTTTGGTTTGATTTAATTCATGAAAAAATCATTGCACTCAAATGGATGATTAAATTTGGATTGGTTCACCGTGCATGTAAGTTGTAACTTTTTGATCCCATTTGTTGTTGCAACTTGTAAGTTATTTTGGCAGCATTGAAAAGTAAATTTTGGGCAGCCAATTGAGACAAGTTGTACCAAAGACAAGGAAAAACGAATATTCCTTTCTCTTGCCTAGTAGCATCCTATGCACTGAATTTTGGACGACAAATTTCAATTTTCGATAAATAATTCAGTGCGTGCTTAAATTAATTAATTTTAGAATAAAAAATTTTCTTTTACAATATTTTAAGATAGTTTCATAACAAAATATTATCATTTGATAAAATATTATTAAACATGCACTTAATTAAAGATAATGTTGTTTTTTAAGGATTCTTTTGGTAATCTTTACTTTCATGAAGTATCTATACATTTAACAATTATGTCCAATGTTTATTTGAGTCTGAAATATGAATATAATAAATTATTTTTTATAAAAAAATATATAACTTTTACTTATTCTCTTTTTTAGATGATATCTCTTAATTTTTATCTTTCATACTTGTAAGTATAATATTTCATAAAATAATTATCATGTAAGTAGTTTATTAAACAGATAACAAATGGGTTTGTTTTTATCTATTTTTCAATAACAAAATCGATGTCAGAAGAGAAGCATGAGGAATATTCCATTGGTATTAAGAATCGAAAAGATAAATGGGTTATCTATTTTTTGTTAAGAGTTTTGCATTGGATTTGTTGCATTATGGGTTTTCACTCAACAATAAAAAAAGTGATGGTTCAAGTAGCTTGGCACACTAGGTTATAATGGGCCAGAAGTGCAACAGCCTGTTATCCCTCCACTGTTAGGAGAAGGAAGTTTTCGCTGCTCTGTGAAGCCAGCCTCACGCTGTGCCCTCCATTTTAAGGGTCATGAATGCTTAGGCCTTCGCCCTGGCCCCATGACTCCACCTCTTAACTTGGAGCGGGCAGGCCAGCATAATGCATCAACAAACCCAACCAAGCAAAGCCACAACCATGTTCCATCACTTTGATGCCCCCACTTGGGTTACAAGTTGAAGCTATCCAACTCGGCAAGCTGACAAGCATGTCAGGGACTTATAAATACTGATTTGTATAATATGATTAACGATGTGGTACTTTATCAACGCTGACATAAGATGGATTCATCCAAGGTGGGGGTATTCTAAAGGGGAAACAAGAGTGTTATGATAGTTTGCTTGATTCTGTCCTACTGTTTAAACACAATGAATGGATTAGTAGGAGCATTGATAGACCCTTGAAGACATTAATCTAAGGCCAAGCATTAGAGCAAAGATGTAACAGTGAATATCAATAAGCAAAGATGTAACATTAATCAACGTCTCTGCAGGAAAGAACGGTAACTTTCCAGGACAAGTTGAATTCCCATTATGAAATTGGGCAGAGAACAATTTTTTTTTTTTATCTTAGTAAATTGAATCTGACCCTTACAACGAGTAAAGGGTTACATTAGTTTCTGAAGTGGGGGCAACGTTAATTGTCTCTAGTTCCAAGAGCCTGAGTCATTCATTAAGAAAGAAACTAGCTACATTGGTAAAGGGTAATAGTGATATGATTTAAAAGGTGTGCATAAAAAAGAGCAAAATACATATGAGGAACGAAAAGGGAAACACTGGCTTTGTTTATGTATACTGTGCAAAACATCAGGTTCGCTTAACTTTTTGTTTTTCTTGTTACAAGATGCTTCATTAGTTTAGAGTTATTCAATTTTATTTTATTTTGTTTACTCCTCTTGTTGAGTTTTATTGTCTATTTTCTTTCTGGTTTTCTGTTTGATTTTATTTTATTCATGAAAGAATCATCATTGCACTTAAAGGGATGATTGAATTTGAACTGGTCCTCCATGAACTTCTTTGTCCCTGGTGTAATTGCAACTTTTAAGTTATTTGGCAAATTTGAATTGTATTGGGACAAGTTTGGACAAAAGATGGGGAAAAACGAACATTCCTTTCGCTTGCTTAATAGGTGAATTTTGACCAAAAAATTCAATTTTTTATAAATAATTCAGTGTATACATTAATATATTTTTAAATAAAAATTTCTTTTATAATTTTTAAAGAGTTTTATAAAATTAAATAATTTTTTTAAAATAAATTATTATTAAACATACACTTAATACAAGACAATGTCGAGCATAATTAAGTATTTGTTTTTTCAAGATTCTTTTGGTAATACTTATTTTTATGAAGCTAGTATCAATATATTGATCAATTATGTACAATATTTATTTGGGGTCAAATCCTTTGACATCAAATCTTAATCGTTCATTTCTATTATTTTAACGATTATAATTTATTGGATCACATTTATTAATTGATTATTAATTTTCAATAAATTATAACCGTTAGATAGACAAAAATCAACATTTAAATTTTGGTATCAAATGATGATGTCCCTATTTATTTGTATTTTAGATATAAGTATAATAAAATTTAGTATCTTAATAAACTCATCTTTTACTTGATCTCTTTTTTCGATGACATCTCTTAATTAATTTAATCTTTCATAATTTTAAATATCATATTTTATACAATAATTATCTTGCAATTAGAATAATAAACAATTAACAAAAGGATTTTTTTTAACTACTTTTTAATATTTATTTGTTTCTCATTTTCTTTGTCTCGCAAACCAATATTATAAAACTTTGACCAACAATCGACTCTTTCTGGGTATTGGATTAATAAATCACTTATTGAATCGATAAGTCATGGATTAAACCGATTAATCCGGATAGGTATATATAAATGTATATGACTATATTCTATACTCAAAATTTCTTCCTTTTAATTTCTATACTCAAATATACAGATATGAATTTAAAACAAGTGGAATAATAAATATTGATATGGTATAGAACACATGTTCAACACAGCTTGCCAATGAATGACATTATTCGAAAAACACTAACCCCCGCCATATTCATAAGGAACAACTAAGATCAATTTTCATTAATTATGAGACTTGACAATTGACATTAACTTGTCAATAATCTAACACCAATTCTTCATTGTTAGTAAACATGAGAAAGATGATATTCTTGGGTAAGCACCAATATGATCCAAAACTTAAATTCCATGCCAAGGCTAAGCCATAATACACATATATTATTTTAATTTCTAAGGTAAATTATTTTTTATCAGCTCTACATATATTTTTATAATTTGTTAAATAACGAGAGAAAAGAGAGTAACATTTGAAATATTTATGTGTAGAACCTCCAAAAAAAAAAAAAAAAAATTATGTGTATTGACTGATGAAGGCTGTACAATATATAAACAGACTAATGAGCTAAGCTCAAACCTAATGTAATCTGACCTAATACAAAATAAGGAAACCCTAATTACAAAATAAGGAAACCCTAATTACAATATATTTCTAACACTCCCTCTCAAGCTGGAGCGTATAGGTCATATGCACCAAGCTTGTTACATATAAACTCTATTAGAGGGCCCCTCAAAGATTTTGTAAACACATCTGCTAATTGCTCATTAGAGGGTACAAAGCTAGTTTTAATTTCACCAGCAAGAACCTTTTCTCGAACAAAGTGGCAATCTATTTCTATATGCTTGGTTCTTTCATGAAACACTGGATTTGATGAAATGTGTAGAGCTGCTTAAATATCACAAATGAGAGTTGCCTGTCCAGTGTCTCCAAACTTAAGTTCTCTGAGAAGCTGTTTAAGCCAGATGAGCTCGCAAGTAGTAGTCGCCATGGAGCGGTATTCTGCTTCAGCACTTGATCTGGCAACTACGATTTGTTTCTTACTTTTCCAGGAAATCAAGTTGCCTCCAACAAAGACACAATACCCAGAAGTAGATCTCCTATCAGTTGGACAACCAGCCCAATCAGCATCACAGTATCCAACCACTTTATCATGACCTTTATCTTCATATTCAAGGCCTTTCCCTGGAGATGCCTTGATATACTTAAGAATACGAATAACTGCATTCCAATGTTCTTGACATGGAGAATTGAGAAATTGACTGACAACACTAACTGCAAAGGAAATATCAGGCCGAGTGACTGTGAGGTAGTTCAATTTTCCAACCAATCTTCTATACTGCTCAGGATCTGAAAAGGGCTCCCCCTGATTTGGTAGAAGCTTGATACTTGGATCCATAGGAGTATCAACAGACTTTGAATTTAACAGAGCAATTTCTTCAAGAATATCTAGAGCATATTTCCTCTGAGATATCATAACACCAGCTTTAGATTGGGCCACCTCGATTTCTAAGAAGTATCGAAGTTTCCCAAGATCCTTTGTCTGAAAATGATGACATAAGTGTTGTTTCAATCG